CTACTCTTCGACTAGGACAAGGCCAATCTAGGTACAATGAGAGAGAGAAAGGGAAGGGATGAAACACCCTTTTCTCTAATTAGTGTGAAAGCTAATTCCCCTCCCTAACTTCTAAACAATGGGAATTAATTCCTAGATTTAACATTGAGAATCTACATTCTCTAGTAGCTTTTGGACGTAGGGACCTAAGCAAAAGGGTGAGAAGATACATCCCCACCCCTTTTCTATTAAGACCCCAACGTTTGGACTTAGCTGATTGGCTAGAGGAGTTGAGAGGTTGAAATAGTCACCCCCTTCAAATAGGAGAGAATATAAACACCCTCAAATTTCAAGAAATGGAACAAGAAACAAAGAAGTAGTAGTAGATGTTATTGAAAGGAAATAGTAGTTGAGAGCAATAGTTACATGCCTAACAATTAATCCAAGGAGAGTGAGGTTAGAAGTTTCCCTCTATGTAGTCTTCAATTAAGGAGACAATAATGTTCCAAGAATGATAATGCTTGACTTGGAACATTAAGCTAGGGCATGATAGGATTTGGTTTGAAGGGTATTTTAGTAAATTGGGATTCAAACGGCATTTTGGTAAATTGGGTTCATAAAGGGTATTTTTATAAATTAGGGAACTAAAAGGTGTTTTGGTAATTTAAGAATTGAAATGAAAGGTATTTTCGTAATTTTGGATCTGAAAGGTATTTTGGTAAATTGGGTTTAGAAAGGGCATTTTGGTAATTTGGGTTCAGAGGGGGTTCAACAGCAAACCTAGGGATTCATACTAGTCTGAGTGAATGTTCAAGTATGTATAGGGGATCCAAGGGAAAGTGGAGAGGGGGTTCAATGGAAAACCTGGGGATAGGGGTGTCCACGGTTTGGTTAACCAAACCATGGCCCCTTTTTGTAAACCGAACTTGTGGAATTGGTTTTTTCATTTTTCCAAACCGAAATTGAACCGGTACCACCAGTTAACTGGTTCGCGGTTTCGGTTTTTGATCAGTTCGGTTCTTCGGTTTTTTGGTTTTTTATATTTATAATATATATTATATAAATATATGTATAATATTATATTACAAATAATAAATGATATATAATATAATAAATATTTTATAAATATATAATATATTTGTAAATAGATCATTATAAATATAATATAAGTATATATTTATATATAATGAATATATATTTATATAAAATACATAGAAAATATGTGACATATATTAAAACTATATATAAAATATATATATAAATATATATACCGGTCAGTTTGGTTAACCGCTGGTTTTTTATAGGTTAACTGAAAACCGAACCGGTCCTTCGGTTTTTCAAAAATTCCGAACTGAAACCAAACCGACCAGTTCAGTTAACCGCATTTTGCGATTCGGTTTTCTCGGTTCGATTCGGTTTTTTGGTTTTTCGGTTTTTCATGGACACCCCTACCTAGGGATTCATACTAGTCTGAGGAAATATTCAAGTATATACAGGGGATCCGAGGGAAAGTTGAGCAAAAGTCAAGTGTTAAGATTATAGCTCACTAGGAAGCAACAAGATTCCTTGCAATCAAAAACTTTGTACACACTCTAAAAGCATGAGAATCCAATTGCACATTAAGAACCTCTCAATGAAATTTAACATACAAAAGAGAGTGTAGCGAAACTTCATTCCTCTATGGAAACAACAATAACAACTTCGACAATGTCTCCACTAGAGACACCAATAATAAAAACTCTGACACCCTCTCCACAAAGACATCCTTTGGCCTATGGGAAATAATCCTACCCTCAAGAAGAGAGGGAACTAAGGCATCCTCCCAATCAAGAATTGAGCTCTCATCTTCCACATGCCAAAGAAGACTCAAGGGTGGCAAGTGCAACAGCATATATGTTTTTCGCTTTGTTTTGATGCTTGTATGTTACTTCCAGGTCCCTAGTAAGGCTTTGTATCAAGGTCTTGTAGGAGAGTATGGATATTTCTTTGACGGTCGTCTCCCCCCCCCCCACATTTGGCCGTTCACTAACTAAGAATCTCCTATCACTCATACTTCCTAGCTCCTAAATCCCTTGCAACATTCAATCCCAATCCCAACACAAGTGCCTCATATTCTACGATGTTTGAAGAATAGGGGAACAAAAGTTTGAAGGAATAAGTAGTGGTGTTTTCAGATGAGGAAGTTAATGTCACATTTGCACTCATTGAGGAATTGGTGCAGCTTTCGTCGAACGCCAAATCCCATTTGATGTCTTCTACTGTTGCGATGAAGGACTGTTCTCCAGGTATCTCCTTAGAGATGTTGAATTCGTCATTTGTTGAAAAGGCTTCTAGGAGATTTGCTAAAGAGCTTGACACTTAATGGCTTTGGGTTGGGTATACTCAATAGTGTACTCACTCAATTGCATCATCCATTTCACTAATCTTCCTAAAAGCGGGGGATCTATCTATGAAGTACCGAACAAGATTATTTCTTGCTATAAGGAACATCTTCTACCCCAATATGTAATGTTTGAACTTCTAAACGGTGAAAACTAGCGCCAAGCACTATTGTTCCATGTGAGAGTTCTCCACTATCTTGAGTGTTTTGCTGGCATAATAGATTAGCACTCTTTTTTCTCGTCATTCTCTTGGGATAATAAGCATCCTATGGCCTCTGAATTAGATGTGATGTAAAGATTAAATTCTTGGCTGCTTGTGGGGGTGACATGGTGGGGGCCTTAGCTAGTGCTTGTTTTAAATGCTCAAAAGTTTATTGATGCTATTCTAACCATCTGAGCTCTACAACTTTCTTGATCAACTTGAGAAGGGGAGACTAGTTGGTGCTAACCCTGGGATGAATCTTTTGAGGTACGATACCTTCCCTAGAAAGGTTTGAAGCTACAATTCATTCTTGGGAGGGGGAAGGTCTAGGACTGCATTGACTTTACTACATTAGGGTGAATGCCAGATTGGTCAACTTTGTAGCCAAGGAACTTCCCTAACTGTATTCTGAACACATACTTCAAGGGGTTCAACCTTAGGTTGAACTCTCTACATACATTTGGTGAACACTTTCCTAAGGACCTCTATATGTCTTTCCTTCTTCCTCTTCTTTACTACTGTGCCATCTACATAACATTCAATCTTCTTGTGCATCATATTATGGAAAACACTTGTCATGTCTCTACGGTAGGTGGCCCTGGCGTTCTTTAGCCCAAATGGCACCATCTTGTAATAGAAGTTTCCTATGGGGTCCAAAATGTAGTATGAGGTGCATCAATAGGGTCCATATAGATTTGGTTGTAACCACTATAGGCATTTAGAAAAGAGAAGAATTCGTTCCCATCTGTGGCATCTATCAGTATCTCCATGTTTGACAAAGGGCGCTAACTTCTATCATGCAATGAGCACTAGAGGAGAAGATTCTTAGGGCTAACCTTGGTTGGCTGTTTTTCTTCTTGATCGGTTTAATGTTCACTAACCACCACTTGGGGTGTTTGATGGGCTTGATGAAGCACACCTTCATGAGCCTCTCTATTTCTTCCTTAATTTTCAATGCCACTTCTGTTTTGAAGACCCACTGAGGTTGTTTGACCGGTTCGTGCTTGGGGTCGATGTACAATGAATGTTTGACAAAAGCTAGATCTAATCTTGCCATCTGATCGTAAGACCAAGCGAAGACATCATGTTCAATTCCATGAGTGTGAGTGTGACTCCTAACAAAACATCTAATTTAAAGGTCAAAAGGGCAATGTACCTTTAAAAACCTGTTCAATTCCGTCTTCTCATTGCCTTGTAACTTAGCGGAAATGAACATGGGACGCTTGTCTCTTTGTTTTGTAGGTAGGTCGATTTCCTCTAGTGGTTCTTCCACCGCTTTGTTGGAGTCTTGTAGGTGTTTGGGTGGTGAGTGAATTTCATCATAGTATTCGATGACGCCATTGGGTCTCTCTTGTTAAATGTTCTTTTGTTATTACTTCCTTCTTTAGGGTGTTTTAAATTTATTATGCGATGGGCTATGTACCTTGTTTCTTGCTAAATGTGATTAGAGATTTATATGGGTCGTGCTTTCTTGACGCAATGAGAGCATTGAAATATCACCTTCATCAATTTGTTTGTTTTGGGAGTGCGATGAGAGTAGTGCAAGTTTAGCTCTGCTTTTCTGGACAGTAGTGTTGGATAGGGGTGGCCACGAGCCGAGTTCTTCACGAGCTCGACTTGTGAAAAGTTTGGCTTGACTCAGTTTCAACCGAGCTTCAAGCCGAGTAATTTATAGGCTCGATTAATAAATGAGCCAAGCTCGAGCCTAATAGAGCTCAACTTGTGAGGCGAGCTCGAATAATAATAATAATAATAATAATAAAATTGTAGAAAATAATATTTATATAATAAAAATATAGAAAATAATATATATATATATAATAAAAATATTATAATTCTTAATTTTTAAGATCAAATAGAAAATATTCTTATATATAATTTTTTATTTTTATAAAACATTTTTTCTCAATTCGAACTCGAGCATACGAATTGTTGACTTGAGCCGAGCTCAAGGTCAAGGTTCTAGCTTGAATCGAGCTCCTTGTACTACCTTGGCGAGCCAAGCTCGAGCCTCATACTATTCGGCTTGGCGGGGCTTGAATCCACCCCTAGTGTTGGATAAAAGAGTTCTCATTATGTATGTTAGACAATTGCAACTTTAACATCTCTTATATATGTGCATATACTAACATTAGCATTAACATTCCGTTCCTGACCCCAAATTTGAAATAAATCCCCATCCCCTATGCCAATCTATGTTGGGGATAAAAAGTTTATCCTCGGGGCCCGTTAGAGATGGGTTCCCTGTTGGGTCCCAAATCCCTGAAAATTTTTAATTAATAGTATTTTTGAAAAAATAAATATACATAAAATAAAAATAATTTAAAATATAAATAATATTTTAAATATATTTTAATATATAATATTTAAATATATATATATACACACACGAGGTCAGGGCGGGGCCAGGACTTCATTCCCCATCCCCCCATCCCCCATCCCCCATCCCCGAACCTGGACCCTGGTCCCCATCGCCGTTCCTGCCCTGCTAAAGTAATCTCCATCGCCAAATACATCAAACGACAAACGCTTGATTTCATTGTTTTAGCGCAGGCTAAAAGTGATTGGACGAGAGGGGTACCCCATCGTGGCCACTCGAAAAAAAAAAAAAAAAAAAAACAAACAAATCGGATGATTCTGCCTCTCTCCCAGCCACTAATTTGCGCGCCAATTGATCCCGATTAGAAGCTCTGCAAAATCTCAACCCACCCACGCCCCTAAAACTAAAATTCCTCCAAAAATCTCACTCTCCCTTCATTATCTGTTACATCTCTTCCTCATCTCTGCATGGGTGATGGATAGTGATAGAGTCGGCAAAAATGCAGCAGATTCATGGGTTCTCTCCCCCCCCTCAGGGAACTCTAACTCTCTTCTGCTGTGTTCCCTGTTCACTAACAAAACCACTTCACTTTCTGTACAGATGTTCTACTTCTCCTGCTTCTTCTACGTTCTCGCGACGTCTAGTCAAGAAGGATTCCTCTAACAGGTCCCAAATGCTTCATCTGAGACAGAATCCCAAAAGACTCACTTCACGGATATTGGAGCTTAGCCGCAGAAAGCAATTGCGTCAGGTTTGGAATAAAACCTCTGAACTCCTCTGTTTTTCTTTTAGTTTTTATTTATTTATTTTTTTTATATGTAAGATTTCGTTATTGTTTAGATCTTCGAGGAAGTCGAGCTTGCGAAAAGCCGGTATGGGAAGCTGAACACAATCGTGATGAACGCAGTCATGGAGGCATGTGTACACTGTGGAGATGTTGATTCAGCTCTTCAGCTGTTTGAAGAGATGTCTAAACCAGAGGGCTGTGGCGTTGATAATATCACTTACGGGATCTTGCTAAAGGTACTTCATAAACTCTCTTGCTGTAACTTTGTTTTCTTGGTTGTGTGGTAGAATTGGCTATGCAATGGAATGCCCTATGAATCCCTCTTAAAGGTGGAAACCTCAGGAGGTTCCATGGTGAGGCATCATGGTGGTTGAGGGCCTGAGGCAATTTGACCCGTTCCCATGGGGCCCGCCCTGCCCTGGCCGGGGCGGGGATGGTATTTGTCCACCCCGCCCCGACCCCGAACCCACCCCGGACTATATTATATAACAAAAACTGAGCCAAGTCATATTATGTACTTTGTTGTTAAAATCTGTGTCCATAGAAATCTAGCAACAAGCTACTTAACTACAAGATTGAAATTTAATAATAGTTGAAGGGATGCATTACATACATATCAATAAAAAGGGATGCATTACATCCAACAACACTCCAAAGAAGAGAAAAAAAAAGGAAAAAATTGATGCTTATACCATAAATAGAAATTCTGATAATTACTATAAATGGTAAGTCAACCAAAGAATGAGCAAGAGATTAGGAGGAAAGAGAACTCTTGCTGTCGGGGACTTGGGGTAAACAACAATGAGATAAACTACTTGAAAGGAATAGGTGAGAGGAGAAAAAAGATAAAGAAAATTCTTGGAAACAACCCAAATTTATTAAACAAAACTTTATATCAAATGAACTTTTTTTTTTTTTTCGTAAATTGCAATGGTTATATTTATAAACTCACAATATGAATTTGGATGCCCCTTTATGGACTCCAGTTTGGACTCAAAAACGGACTCAACCAGCTTCTATTTGCTTTGAAACAAAGACAAATCCATAAGGACACTTAAATAAGGACTCTAACTCTTAACTTACAACAACTCAAATAATAGTTTCATAAACAAACTTGATGTGAAGACACCAGATATTACAAAAAATAACAGACTGAGATGTCACTATAAATAGATAAGAATTATTATAAATAGTAAGTCCAATTACCATAAATAATAATTTCAATATAACAATAAATTTCTAGAGAACTTCAAACCCTATTATTTCTTTGCTTCAATATTTGGATCATTATTCCCTACTCAAAAAAACTTGCGCTCAAGTTTTTTTTTTTTTTTTTTTTGAAAGAGGTAAAGTAATATTTATTCAAAGCAACACATACAAGCTGTGATCAGGCCCAGAAAGGCAACTTGATAAACACAGCAATTACATACTCCATCAGGAGTTAGAGCGAAATACAACAGACAAATTCAAGTTTCTAAACTCCTCAGAAACTGACACCCAAGAGATTAACTTGCCCACAGCTTTCTGAATAAAGTCTTCTGGACTTTTAGCCTTATTACAGAAAAACCTACTGTTTCTCTCAGCCCAAATGGACCACAAGACAGCACTAGGAATAGTCCTCCACACGAACTTCCTTTTCTTGCTTAGACCTTTGATATTCCAGCAACAGAGGAGCTCTTTTACCGATCTTGGCATAGTCCAGCTGATGTTCATGGTTCTGAGAAAATAGTCCCACAACTGAGAAGAAAACGGGCAGTGAATGCACAGATGGTCTGTAGATTCAGGAATACTCCCACAAAGACCACAAGATAGATCCAATATTTGAATGCCCCGTTTCACAAGGTTAGCTCTAGAAAGACATTTATCCAAAGCCAATGAATTGACAGAGAAAACACCATCCGGATTCCACTTCCAGCACCACTTGTCTTCTGAGAGAATGTCAACCTTTTGATTCTTGAGAAGAGTCAACATATTCACTATCTCTTCAAGCTCCCAGTCAAAGAGATTCCTTCTAAAGAGAGGGATCCAAATAATAGAATCTCCAGTCAAGCTACAACACTCAGCTACAGATGCCTCTTGATTAGAGGCACACTGAAAAAGGAGAGGAAAAGACTCAGCAAGAGAACCATCCAAGCACCAAGGATCCTTCCAAAACTTAGTTCTATTACCATTTACAGCCTTAATTGAAATTCCATCCACTAAAATAGAATAGTTCTTCATTATCCCTTTCCACAGAGAATTTCCCCAACTTGGAGGAGGATCCCTAGATCTCCAGTTGCCCCAATTCACCCCATATTTACCAGCTATGAGGGATCTCCACCAAGCATCACTTTTAGCTGCAAACCTCTAGATCCACTTACAAAGGAGGGCAGAATTAAAGATTTTCAACTTCCATATGCCTAAACCACCTTCAGCCTTGGGGAGACAAACTTGGTCCCAATTGATAAGATGAATTCTTTGCTCCTCATCCCAACCCCTCCAAAAAAAATTCCTTTGAAGCTTTTCAAGCCTTCTTGCTACTTTATTAGGGATAGGGTGCTCTTTAACAAAGTAACCCTACCCCCAAAAGAAAGATATCTTGCCTTCCAAGAAGCTAATTTTCTCTCCATTCTTTCAATAACCGGGTCCCAAATTGAAGAAAGCAAACAACTCGCCCCCAGAGGCAGACCCAAATATTTTATTGGAAGGGATTCAGTCTGACAAGCCAGTACCTCTGCACATTCAACTAAGTTGGTTACTTGACCCACTGGAATGATTTGACTTTTATTCCAATTGACCTTAAGCCCAGAGATCACCTCAAACCAAGTTAAAATCTCAAGAACCAATTCCACCTGAGAAGGAGAAGCATCCACAAAACATAATGTATCATCTATAAATTGGAGAATATTAACCTTCTCCCCCTCCAGAGCAATTGCAAAACCTTCCCACTCACCTGATTTAGCAGCCTTCTTACAAAACAAAGTGAGAATCTCCATGACACAAATAAAGAGTAATGGAGACAGGGGGTCACCCTGTCTAAGTCCCTTGGAGCTATCAAAGAAACCTGCAGACTGCCCATTAATCAAAACTGAAAATTTGGGAGAGTGTAGAGAACACTGATGTGGGCCCCACAGCTACGGTCCCACTGTGTTCATAGGGTAGAAGGTGTTCTAGTCTTCCTAGGGTTAACTATTGGTCATTTAGTTGTTTCAGTTGTTATTTATTTCAGTCTTATTTTTGATATATTTGTTATGTAAAGACTAAGGGCCGATCTGTCCTTTCCATGTAATGAGAATAACCTATAAATATTAATTAAAATGGTGGCGGCAGAACATCAAGCTTCTGCTCCTCCTTTTCAACTCTTGTGTTCTACTGCTTCTCCTCCCTCTTCCTCCTCTTTTCTCTTTACCTTTCTTCTTATTTTCGAACCCGAAATCCATTAGGGTTCAAGACTGATAACAGTCCTGAACTTCTACTTGGTATCAGAGCTTGATGTTCTGCCGCTGCCATTTCAATTAATATTTATAGGTTATGCTCATTACATGGAAAGGACAGATCTGCCCTTAGTCTTTACATAACAAATAGAGCAAAAATAAGACTGAAATAAACAACAACTGAAACAACTAAATGACCAATAGGTAACCCTAGGAAGACTAGAACACCTTCTACCCTACGAACACAGTGGGACCGTAGCTGTGGGACCCACATCAGTGTTCTCTACACTCCCCCTCAAGTTGGGAATAAATGTTTATCATTCCCAACTTGGATAGATCCGTCTCTAGCTTCTTCCGTGGTACAGCTTTGGTGAGGATATCTGCCAGCTGCATGTTGGAGGTGATGTATGGG